CTCACTAATATTTATTTGCTAATAAGTGTTGCAATTATTTACTGTATTTCATGCAGAAATTAATTATTTTTATCGACAAACGCATAATTATAATATTTTTTGCTTATACAGTGTATTGAGAGTTTATAATCTTTATCATGCATATGGAAGTTACAGAATATTACTACATATCACTAACACAGAATATTCTGTATCAGAATATGCCTTATAATTTAATAGACGAAAATTAAATTAAGGCTAAAATTGATAAAATAAATAAGTTTGTCGCACATTGATAGCCATCATAAAGTGGTATCGGATGTGAATATCAAATGTTTTAAGCCTTCCACGCGTTTCTCCTATATTTGATTAGTTGTCTCAACTATTTTTATCCCATTTAAAGGGCACACAGAATATTCTTTGTGCCATTTTGTTGGTAAATATACTCTACCTGTGAATATACCAGCCCTGAGAGAGAGAGAGAGAGAGAGAGAGAGAGAGAGAGACTGTTCTCTCACTTAATTGTTATACCTCTCTCTCTCTCTCTCTTCCCTCACTCACTCATCTCAAGTGATTCTCTCTCTATCTCCCAGTGCTCAACAGTGATGGGAGAGAGAGAGAGAGAGAGACTGATGATGGAGGAGAGCAATGCTCTGGAAATGTAAGTATGACAGTATGAGAGAGATAGAGAGCACTGGTAGCTATTTTTAGTAACGTCGACCTGCAATCCAATTCCATCATAGAGTGCACACACATATAGAACAGTGTAATTCCGTTGCCCTACATTCCCTAAATTGCATCGGATTTTCATTTTAGAATATGCGATCGCAAGTGATATGTGAAACCCAATCACTGTTGACAACTGTTGTGAACGCTTAATGTTTTTATGAGTCGCCTATTTGTGGCTCTCTCTCTCTCTCTCTCTCTCTCTCTCTCTCTCTCTCTCGGTCTTCCCATAAGTCAAACACAAAACTGTCGAATACATAGAATTTAACTGTTATATTGTGCGCTCTATATAACGCACAGAATATTCTTTTCAAATAATATCTATAATACATGTTTAGATAAAGAGTATAATATATATTTTTAAGAACCCGTAAGACATAAACACCGGAATATTGTGTGCAATATATCAACGATTCATTCAAAACACTAGTAGTTATTTATATCGCGTATACCATATATAATATTATTCTCGAGATTACTATAGAGAATATTCTGTAAATAGAATTGTATGTATAAATATACCATAGTTGAGCATAATTTTTAGGTCATTTGGTTTACAGTGGTTTCTATATTTAGCTCACAATTAATCCTTTGATTATATTCTCTTCTGACTCTCTCTCTCTCTCTCTCTCTCTCTCTTATTAAACTTTTATATAATTAATAGAATATTCTATAAAATTCTGCTTATGTAATTAATTTATTAATTAAATTATTTTTTTATATTTGGATATTTCAATTACCGTAATAATAAACAATTTGTTTATTTTACAAATAAATATCCTATGTGTACCTTATATTCAGACAATAATATATTTGCAATTAATTTAAATCGACCGGATATTTATATAAAATATAATCTTTAATTTATTAATTTTTACCTGTTTTTAGTTTAATTGGATGTTAAATAAATTTATTTGTAGATAAACTTTCGAATTAAAGGAGCTTACTGATAATATAATCAGATTATGTTTGTGTGTGTGTGTGTGTGTGTGAGAAAGAAAGAGAGAGAGAGAAAGAGAGAGAGAGAGAGAGAGAGCACTGGTAGCTATTTTTAGTAACGTCGACCTGCAATCCAATTCCATCATAGAGTGCACACACATATAGAACAGTGTAATTCCGTTGCCCTACATTCCCTAAATTGCATCGGATTTTCATTTTTATAAAAAAATAATTTAATTAATAAATTAATTACATAAGCAGAATTTTATAGAATATTCTATTAATTATATAAAAGTTTAATAAGAGAGAGAGAGAGAGAGAGAGAGAGAGAGAGAGTACAATAAAATAGACTTATGATTAATATACAAATTATGAAACTAATCTATGAATTATGAATTAATATCCTTTTTATATTTTTTATTGAGAATAATATTTTATTTTTATTAATGTTTTTTGTATTCATTCGCTATATTTTCCATTTTTCTCTAACTATACTGTAGTAAGAATTCAGTTTATTATAGAAATAAAAATTGTTTTTTATATAAATAGATATTTTTGTGAAATATATTATTGTATTATAATAAATAAAACTTAAACTGAATAAACACGTATACATAACACAACTATCTCTCAAACATTCAATTGAAATGTATTTATCTTTATATTTCTTATGAAAAATTATATTATATTATATTTTTTATTTTTCCAAAATATATGATAAAATAAACAATTAGATATGAGTGAAAGAGAGGCTATAATACAGGTAATATATATATATTTTTAAAAATCTTTTTATTTTTTATTGTGTCAATTAATAATTTATTTATATATCAATGTTACCACAGAATCTATATTGTGTTTTCTACAGAAAAATTATGTTATCAGTCGAGAGAGAGAGAGAGAGAGAGAGAGAGAGAGAGAGAATGATTGATTTGATGGCACAGACATGAAAAATATTACCTAAACTCTTTAGACTTATGATTAATATACAAATTATGAAACTAATCTATGAATTATGAATTAATATCCTTTTTATATTTTTTATTGAGAATAATATTTTATTTTTATTAATGTTTTTTGTATTCATTCGCTATATTTACCATTTTTCTCTAACTATACTGTAGCAAGAATTCAGTTTATTATAGAAATAAAAATTGTTTTTTATATAAATAGATATTTTTGTGAAATATATTATTGTATTATAATAAATATAACTTAAACTGAATAAACACGTACACATAACACAGCTATCTCTTAAACATTCAATTGAAATGTATTTATCTTTATATTTCTTATGAAAAATTATATTATATTTTATTTTTTATTTTTCCAAAATATATGATAAAATAAACAATTAGATATGAGTGAAAGAGAGGCTATAATACAGGTAATATTTATATGTTTTTAAAAATCTTTTTATTTTTTATTGTGTCAATTAATAATTTATTTATATATCAATGTTACCAGAGAATCTATATTGTGTTTTCTACAGAAAAATTATGTTATCAGTCGAGAGAGAGAGAGAGAGAGAGAGAGAGAGAGAGAGAATGATTGATTTGATGGCACAGACATGAAAAATATTACCTAAACTCTTGCCTTTCAATAGGCTATTGAAAGCCCAGAATATCGGCGAATATGGTGTGAATTGAATCATTGGATTCCGTGTTTTGTTATGAAGTGTTTTCACATTTCCATGTATTGTGAGCACCAAACAAAATATGAATGCTTTTGATACATACAGGGGCTCTCATTATATCACACGCTTCATACCCTCCCTCTCCTGTCCCCCTCTTATGAACACATATCACTCGAGTATATCTTTCACTCTTATAATATAAAAATAAGGAATCAATTCTTGAGAATCTCAAGAATATTCTGTGCGTTTGTATTGAGTGTATTGTGTTTTGAAAATACTGGATAAGAGGTATGCCGTATATATAGTTGGTAAAAGGGAACTACACTTGATTTAGGAGTTGCACAACATGTGGTTCTGAGCACACAATATATGATATAAATTTCTAAAATCTATATAACTTTAAAGTATTACCGGTGCACTGTATTTTTGTAAAGTTATTATACCGTATTTAAATACTATATTTTGTTTTCAGCCACAACTAGCCATTGAAATCAATTGTGAAATATTGGATGTAATTTATACTAATCTACAATACCCTGATGTTACATAAAACGCATACCTATTACAAAAATATGTTTCGATACGCTATATTACACACATAGTATTTATATAAAGAATATTCTGTATGATTGCAGTCCTGTATATTAAAAAAAATACCACAACATTTGATTGAATGATTGGTCCTATTTATGAAATGCTATTCTTTTTATGCCATTCTTTGTGTACTGTTATTGACATATGAAGGGAATGGGAGGGATTGGATCAGACATTGTGTCCAGTAATTCCAATGTGTCCGATATGTTGAAATAATATGTAATTTCTAAAGATATTTGTAAAAATATACCGGGATTAAAATTGTTCTATTTCTATAAATATTTCTAATTTATATTTTTAACATTTAAAATTTTACTTTAAAAATAATAGGTTTAATAAATTAAATTAATACAGTATATAATTATGTACTTGATGTAAATGTTTATTAAATATATGGGCAATTTATACACAAAATCTGTATTAAATACATACAGAATATATACAAGGAAGCAATTAGCATTTAACACATAAATCACAGAATATTATGGCTATACATTGAATTCAAGTCTAACACTAAACCAATTTGTTATAAATATATTTAGAAATATTACATAACAATAATTTATAACACAATTTGTTGCACTCGATAAGCGCCGTAACCGTAACCTCCCGGTGCCACAGGAATTCATATTGCCATAAATATATACACACAGAATATTCTGTTCGCCAATAGTTTGATGACTTATTTTATGACTAATTTTACGCTCGAATGCATTGATTTCCTATTCATTAGTCGATACCATATATAGAATATTCTTGATGTGAATATTATTATACATTTTGTATTCGTTGACCACTTAATGATCGGTTTATATATTATTTATGTCTTTATTATATTTTATATTGAATTGTTGTATAATAAAAGTTATTTGGCTTTTGAATGATAGGCTGGGCCTATATCACAATACATTGTCAGTTATGCAACAAAATGGATACACACTATAATAAACTTATTAAAGTCAATTTACTTATTAATTCAATAAATAGGAATTGTTATAGAATTAACCACCCTTATTAAAATTTAATGACAATTAGTACATTGCTTAGAAATGCGTTAGCAATTATATTTGTAATATTTATTGTTTGAATATTTTGTAATTAATACAATATTTTATTTGATTTGATCATGAACAGTTATGGCGACATGGTGCCGGCTACAATAACAGGCAAAATAGTTGGTGGCGTTTGCTCCCTGTCCGGTGTGCTGGTCATCGCCCTCCCTGTGCCGGTCATTGTGTCCAACTTTTCTCGCATTTATCACCAAAACCAGAGGGCAGACAAACGGAAGGCACAAAAGGTGTGTTCAAAAAACAATCTTGCTTATATTCTTATAAACCATTAATTTATTTAAAAATTCTTATTTCTAAATTTGGTATAATTGTTTTTATAGTTTTAGCTTGCTAGATTTAAGAGTAGCTTATTATGCATTATTATTTTATATAATATTTATATGACTATTTACGGTATATAATATTTAAATATGAAATTACATTTACTGCAAATGGATAGTTATTCAAAGTATACAGTATTATTTAAGGTTCATAGTATAGTATCATTATAATAGATATCAAAGTACTGTATTTGTGAATTAATAGGCCTGGCTCGAAATATTGGATATATCTTTCTTTCGGCAAATAAGATGAGAGACTATTCGAGAGATAGGAATCAATTGATCGGATTTATAGCTAAACCATAAAATAATACTTAATATAATATATAATTCTTGTAAGCATTTGATCATAATATGCTTATAATACTATACTTTATGTGTCAAATGGCTTAATCAATGGAAAGTGATGTATTATTAGATGTGAAAGATTTTCATAGACAAAATAATGGCTAAATATTGCATATACAGTATGAAGTAGATTTACACTTAATTTTTAAAATATTATATATATATATTTATTTATATATTTACTAAAAAATGATACTGAGAATTGAAAATATATTTTATATAATATTTGTTTATTTTTTACAAAATGTAAATTTATTACTTAATACACATACCGTTCCCAAATTTCACATAAAATGTGTATAAATATTTATGTATTTACACCAGAATCACTGTTATTCCCCAAAAAAAATTATTAAAAGAGTTTTCAAGTGATATTCTGTTGTAAAAGCATTTTTAGAAGTTCCCGGGGAATTGCACAGAATATTTTGTAAATAATATCTAGTTTACTAGTTGCATTTAGTTAAACATACAAATGCTAGATGCTAGACAGAATTGTTTGTTTTCAAACCTTTAATTAAAATGGCATTCATTAAATAGTTGTCTATTCGTATACAAAATGTGGTACATTATAGACAAATAGTATTTTTTATTATCTTAGCTGTAAACATATTGTCTGACTTTCAGTATATATATATTTATATATTGTTTTGCCTGTTAAATGCGTCAAAATATATTTACAGATTTTATTATTTAATTTAATTAAATTTAGATTTCAGTAAAAAATATTTTTGTAAAAATATAAGTAAAGACATATTGAAAATCTAAGACAATAAATATAATAGATAATATTTTGGAGTTTCCAAGTCTATGAGACACTAAGTTATATGAGTTATACATAATATACAATACATATATAGTACAATAGTGTTGATCCCAAACAAATACCTATTGAAATATTGAGTTTAATCCCCAAATGATATATACCATAGATTTATATAACACAATATAAATGCATTCAAAATGGGATGACATTTATTTGAATTCAATTCGCGAATAAATAATTTAAAGTTGTTTTGTTTTATGGATAACACATTTATAGATATTTTTTTATGTTGAATAGATATTTATCTTTATTAACCTTTTTATATTACAAAATGTTTTTGTGATATAATATTTAATCTGTAAATGTATTTGTACTTCAGTGTAGCCATAATATAGTGCAATAAGTGCATTCGTTAAATTAAATTCACTTTTCTGTTAATATTATATTATATTTTGTTTGTATGTAGTCTAAGGGCTGGTAGTTTTGTTGGTTTGTTTAACTATCTTATTATTTGTCTAAAAGTTTACATGGTTGCATGATTCCTTAGTCTCTCTCTCTCTCTCTCTCTCTCACACACACACAAACATCAGTAAAAATAGTCTATTTTTCATATACACAACAAAAATAATATTATTTTTTAGTCAAAGCAATTATTATGTATAAACTTTTCTATCGTTGTCTGAATAGAGTTCATGAATAAGACACGAATATAGACTCAATTCAAACACCAAACCATTGTATCATTCATTCACTTCAGTGTTTTATTGTGACTAATCTATGGCTCACTTCACAAATCAATGCCAAAAACTTCTAGTATTATGTCATTTGTACTACAAAACAGTTACGATCTCTCTCTCTCTCTCTCTCTCTCTCTCTCTCTCAGAATAAATGAGATTTTATTACAAAAACTTATTCTAAATTAAATCTAAAATAGTTTTTATTTAATAAAGTAAATGTGCAATAGATCTGATATCTAATATAATAATTTCAATGTCCTTTATACACTATATATATAAGTATTACATTTGTATTACAGTATAATAGCTATTCTAATAGTATAGAGAAATATAATAAATTGGTTTGAGTTAAAGGCACAGCTGATACCCCGGTACATTCTGTATGTACAGAATATTCTGTTCGAAAAACATTTTATAACTTATTTTTAATGGCAATACAATGCATATAATAGTCGACTAACTCGTGATTTTGCAATATATTTAAAACATGTTTTGCTTACAAAGTGTTTAATAAAATGTTTTCAAAAAAGTTATTTAACACTGATATTTTCAGAGTTCACAGTATTGATTAATACTTGAAATAATTTTATATTTTGTATATAAAGATAATTTTTGTTTACTAAAATAAACTAGAATATTATGTTAATTTAGAGTTTTTCAAATGTTTATGTCATATTAAATTGTATAGCAATTTAGTTTTTGTATTGAAAATATTTTTTTATTGATTTTTATATTTTAACAAATTTTGAGTTCCATGATCAATTGTATTATAATATTATAATTTAGTAAATATATAATACAGTACTGTAATAGAAAATTTAAATATCTAAATCTAGTTGAACTAAAAAGAAATTTATAGTTTTTATTACAATATTATGTTTGTTATAATATAAGGCATAGTTTTGATTAATTCTTATAATTTAATATTTCACTTAATATTCACATTAATGTATAAATGTTTTTGAGTCCGCATTTATTTTATTAGTAAATATGATCTCAAATGAAAAATAAAGCAATTTTCGGGAATTATATCCAAATATTAAACGTTAAGTATATTTCTCTAAATTACTGTCAAAAACACAATCATTTCGTATAAACTGTTTCATTCATTTCAGTCATTATTACTACTTATTTGCAGTAAATGTAATAAAAACACAAATCATAATATAAATCATTTTTCTATGCATTTGTTTGATCTCTCTCTCTCTCTCTCTCTCTCTCTCTCTCCTTATTGATGTTATAGTTTCCTTAAGTGTTTACCATTTATTACACACTTATATATATAATAATTATAATAATAGAAAAATTACATTTTATTTCTAAACTTATTTATTATATTTTATAATATAAACAATTATATTTTATTATATATTATATCTTATATTTATTAAAATATTATTACAATATTATTACCCTTCCCTTTAATAACACAAATCATTATAATATTATTTGTGTTATATTTTAGCATTAAAGTAAATGTGGTTAAATTATTACAAAATATTAACGCAAATGTTTATCTATTTCATTGCAATTCCTGTCCATTGGTTATGGTGTCTGTCCATCACGTGTGGAACGGTATGTGAATAGAAAGCCCGAATGGCGCGCATCCGTATCGCCAAAGCGACGTCTGGGGCGGCGTTTGTCAGCAAAAAGAAGGCCACCGAAGCCCGTCTGGCCGCTCAGGAGGCCGGACAGGACACCGACGACTCACCAGAAGATATATTTGAGTTACAACATCACCACCTGCTTCAGTGTCTCGAAAAGACCACGGTTAGTATCATACCATTCACAGCAATTCAGCGTTAATTATAATTATGGAATATTCTGTATACCTTGGTCATATTTATTTTTAACATATTTTTCTGATACCTGGGAATATTCTGGACACAGTGTATGAATTTTTACATGTAGTGTAGTTGGAGTTTATTTCTAAATATAGCAAATGATTACCTGAATAAATATAGCAAATGAACTTGTTCACATGCGAGTATCAAAGTGTTATTAGAAGATTTAACAAGGTAGCCAATTTTCTATACTTTTTCAGATACACATTAATTAATGAGATCAGTACCAGAAATATGAATTGCATGAAAATATATGGTTTGTTATATTCATTTAGAAGTCATCATGAATCATTACAATTATATTTATATATGACAATATTTATATTATTTATTACTGATATGTATTATATATTAACCCGTATTCGTGTGTATGATGTCTGAGATTTCATCAAATATTTATTTTTAATTACATTTCATACTCTATTTATGATGCATACCATAGGTACTGGATTTCCCAATAGTGTACTAAAATATATTATATTTATAACTCATATTGATTGCTAGTATAAAGAATGAGATGTTTGTATAGATTTCTATATTAAATATAAGAATTGCGATAATATTTTAAATATTACGAAATTTATTTTACCTGTATTCATATAATTTTATCTAGTTTAATGGTTCAAAAGTGTATACATTACTTTTTATGACGCTTAGTGATCACTTTAAGATGTATTTTTAGTACACCATTCACACCGTATTAGATATGATTGTATTTCAATTGATTTTATAGCAATACTCGTCGACATAATAATTGGGAAATTATTTATCAAACGTCTATTCAATTCGCACCAAAATTATATTTCTCTCCCTCTCTCTCCCCTTCCATCTCTCCAGTCCTGTGTTTGCCTACCGGTGCTCTTAAGCGTCTATTTATAGCGCCACTACTTTACAATATAACACACATACATTTATATATTATATAAACTCATTTTTGTGGAAATAAAATTTACTACAAAATCCTCTTAAAGGCATATCCAATATAAATATATATATATATATTTCTTAGATATAAGTTATACAGAAAAAACATAATTTAATAATTTATTATATCTATAATATATATCAAGTGCTTATCCAATACTTATATATGGTATACGAGAATTAATTTCTAAGTTTTATTTGGTTCATAATTAAAGCGATTCTCCCATTTGGTGACCCGTTTTGAAGGGTTTTTAATATAATGTTTGCGTTTATATTCTGGTGAGAAAACCCTTTATATATCCGACAGTGAAAATATTATTAATGTTTTTGATGTGTATTTTTATTAGTGTTTTATTTTTATGGCAAATATTTTAGATTACTTTGTGTGCCATATCTTAACGAATTGTTTGCTTTATGTTTTTTGGTTTGTATTTCGATGTGCTTTTAGAATACATTAAGTAATCTCTCTCAGACTCTCTCTCTCTCTCTCTCTCTCTCTCTCTCTCTCTCTGATTATTTGTCGCAAATATAATAAAAATAAATGAAAACTTGAATGAATGGAAAAGTGTGTTTATCTATGAGATTAAAATGTATAAATTATTTTATAATAATAGCTCAGGGTTTGGAAATATTTTCCCACTTCATTTCAATTAATGTAATTTATTTAATTATTTATTGCATTTATATATTTGAGAAATATTTTCAACATTCAATTGTTTTTATGTAGCGGTGTAAATAGGATTAGGTTTGCAATTAATTAAATGGATCTAGCTATAATCTAGGAATATTTAAACCATTAAACATATGAATAAAATTAAGCTATTTATGTACTTAAATAAAAATATAATTTTAAAATGTTTTTTAATTAATAGGATCGAGAGTTCGTGGAGCTGGAGGTGCCATATAATGGTCAACCGAATCGACTGTCATCCACACCCCCTCTGTCGCCGGTGGCCTCCATAGCCATAGCCCCGGCCCGGACGGCCAGAAACCTGTTATGCTCTTGTTGTGGCGGCAAAAAGGATTACGAGGTTTGGGTCCATATATACAAATATATTATTGAATATTCTTTAGTTTAGATTTATTATTAGGAAATAGTTTTAGGATTTTTAACTCAATTATACATTTCTTGGAATATTCTTGTTTTTTATTACATTAATCATTTTGTATTTTAAACTTAATCTAATAGTAGTCTCTTGTAATAGTATTAACAATTATTTAAATATGGTAATTTAATAATTTATATATAATTCCTATGATAATAGACTTGCAAATAATATTTATAATTAATTATATTTAATAATTTATAACACAATTTGTTGCACTCGATAAGCGCCGTAACCGTAACCTCCCGGTGCCACAGGAATTCATATTGCCATAAATATATACACACACACAAACATAATCTGATTATATTATCAGTAAGCTCCTTTAATTCGAAAGTTTTTCTACAAATAAATTTATTTAACATCCAATTAAACTAAAAACAGGTAAAAATTAATAAATTAAAGATTATATTTTATATAAATACCCGGTCGATTTAAATTAATTGCAAATAAATTATTGTCTGAATATAAGGTATACATAGGATATTTATTTGTAAAATAAACAAATTGTTTATTATTACGGTAATTGAAATATCCAAATATAAAATATAATTTAATTAATAAATTAATTACATAAGAAGAATTTTATAGAATATTCTATTAATTATATAAGAGTTTAATAAGAGAGAGAGAGAGAGAGAGAGAGAGAGAGAGAGAGAGTCAGAAGAGAATATAATCAAAGGATTAATTGTGAGCTAAATATAGAAACCACTGTAAACCAAATGACCTAAAAATTATGCTCA